TTCTTTTTTCAAAAAACTTTTACCTTTTCCCAATTCTAGAATTGATATGCTTCTACGACATCGCTTCTTTAACTTTTCCAATTCTAGTGGTGATGTGCTTCTCTACGAAATCGGGAGTGGAAGCTTAGATTTTGCATCAATGTGCGGATACCGGGCTGATTTGGGTCATTCACAACTTAATTGTGGATTTTGTTGACTTTGTAGGTTGTCCTCCTGGGCTTACTCTGTATTATGATGCTAATATGATGGGAATTTGTTTTCCCAAATTGTAGTGTGTGGGTGCCTTATTGTCACAGTTTCAAAGGTTAACACCACAGCTTTTTTTAATTAATTAACCATTATACCCTCTCTCATGTTTTGCTTTTGTTTTTCAAAGTCATCTTCTCCTGAGCAAAATCTTAATCCCCTCTCAGGAAACCATCTTCCATTGATGGAAGCACTGCCCATTTAACCTCCCAATCACGTCAAAATCACCAAAATTTCAATCTCAAACACAGAAAGTAACACTCATCAACAAGCCCAAAAACGATTTAAATGTTATTAGATTGAGATTTGGTGAATTTTTTAACAAAGATTACATTCTCCTACTATAATTACTTTATTTCTTTATTAAATTTCATCAGAGGAACTAGTAAACAAGAAATCAATCACCTAAATGGAAAATTTTCAGTTTTAATCTATAGGGATTCTGGGATTTAGAAATGAAAATTGAAGAGAGGAAAAAGCCATGGGAATGATTACAGAGGGGGAAGAACAACGGAGGGGAAAGGAAAGTGAATCAGCAAAATCAACTAGAAAAAGCAGGAATTTTTTAATGGCGATTCTCTAAGGGTGAAAGATGCAAACAGTTCTGGAGAGAACGTGAGTAAGGTAGTGACCGTTGCGAGTTGGATTCAAATGAGGGGTATAACAGTTAAATACTTAAAAAAGATGTGGTGTTAACACTTGTAGCTGTGACAATAGCACCTCCCGTAGTGTGTGACTTATTTTGTTTAATACAATCCCCTATTCCCAAAAAGAGAAAAATGAAAAAGAGCTTAGATTTTGCACTGAATTGCACTGCTTATTTCATTTTCCCCACTTCTTTTACATAGAAAAGTAACTCGTACGCACTCGCTTTTCGATCCAATAACATCAGGTAACATTTAAATACGTTCTTTTTTTTTTTATAACTGTTTGAATTTAGTTTCTTATAAAATTATTTTAAAAGAAAACAATAACTCGTACAATCCTACAGTATACACTTTTGAATCTACTGTCACCAATCTTGCTATTGGAACATCAGTGCAAACAAATAAAAAAGGACTCCTACTCTCCTAGTACCGGCTTACAGTTTTCACTTTTTAATATAGTTTATATTTTTTTAAACTAGTTATTATATCGAATGTCCCATTCATATTTATCATGTGTTAATTTAATATATTCAACTGTTTCATTGACTACATAATGTTTTACATATTAAATATTTCATGGACTAATCTCAATTAGGGACTTCCCTTTCAAAATAGCTTTTGTTTTCCCTGCAAACTTTCACCCTTTTCTCATAGAGTTTATGATGTAGCAGCCGCACTTGAATGCACTAGTGAATGTAACTTTCTCAAAGATTTCCTTGTTCTCCATAAATGACAAAAGAGGATTCTGATTTCTTGAGGAACTGTGTCTCGTAGAGCAAGGATATGAAAAGCAGGGAAAGAAAAGAAAAAACCAGAAGTTACATTTATTTATTCCGGTGGGATACCAAATAAAAGTGCATAGAAATGTCACGTCGAGTGAGTGATTGGTGGGACCTAGATGCCCATGGCCACTTTGTAAAGCAAGAGTACTGAAAATATCCAAGCTGTAGATAACAATTAATGCACTCAACGGGACCACTTGGTTCTATCCAAGACTTAATTGTCGATGCTCACCATTTCTCCTTCAGTATCTGCCCACAGAACAGTCCCCACCGCCCAGCCGCCCCAGCACATGGTTTTCCTAAGATCTTTTCTCCCTTCATGGCCAGCCATTGGCGCCCCCTGCTTTTGCTAAAACCAATCTGACACTATTCAAAGCTGCTTTAATTGCATCAAACATACCACTGTTAGGAGGGACAGTCTTAGACCTGCTTGTGGTTAGCCAATAGCTCCATTTCCAATTCATATGGTCTGAATATCAACCGGGTCAGGGTCTCTACTGAATCCCCAACAGAATTTTTTGGACCCCCACCCTCCCCCCAATTTCTTTATTTCCTTCATTTTGGGGCCTTTAATCATATCTTCTATTCAGCTTTCTTTCTTCTGCTTAAGGTATATAACAACTTCAATAAATCCTTAAAATTTGATGGGTATATAAGTGAAGGATTTCTCAACTTCATGTTATGTTTTTCTAAACAGGGTTTGAGCATCTATCCTCTTTGCACAACTAGATAAGAATGAAGATAGGTTACATACTAGCATACACATGGCATGCACGAGAAGTTTGCATTTCCTAGGCTCCTAGGGCCGTTGCCTTAGCATTGTATCACAATAGACATAAAAGCACTGTCCTTCAATAATGGAGGAGTGATAAAATCATTCCCATATTTTGAGGAGTGCTAAATTATTCCTTTTTTTTTTATTGCATGTGATATTTTCACAATAAATTTGTCTAATTTATATCTTTAAAATTTATTAATTAAAATATTTATAATTAAGTTTATATAAATTTTCATATCAATTTTATAATTTTTTAAAATTTTAAGTATAAATATTATATTATATTTTAATTTTACATAAAAATTTATATAAAATTAATTACAAATATTATAAAATTAATTATAAATATTATAATTAATAAGATTTAACATGTACCTTAAATGCATATGTTAAAAAGTCCCTTTGACAATTGGCTTTATGAGAATCTGTGATGCCTCAGTTGCTAATTCATGGATGAATTTGGTAGCTTTGAGAGCCCTGACCCTCATAAATGTCTCTTACCTATTCCCAACCATTTAAATGCATGTCTTACCAGCATTTCATTCCCGAGCAAGCTTTTCCTTATCCTCCTTTCCCAGAGCTGAAAGTTCTCCTTGCTTAACTAGAGTGTCATTTTGGTGTAAAAGAGGTTTCTTGCTGATTTTTGCTGCAATGGGAGGTCTTGGAATTGGTTTTTTTATTATAGTAATAAGGAAAACTTCATTTGCTGCGTTCACTTGCATTGTTGCATTAGGTATGAGTTCTTTTTCTGCTTCTTTTTAGGTTATAATCTCATTACTTTTTACAAAAAAAACTAAGGATTTTGGCTTTTAAGGCAATTAGGAGGAAATTTTCCTTGATAGAACTGAGATTGATAGAACTGAGATGCCTGGTTTCTTGCAGGAGGGGCTGTGGTGGGAATCATAGTAGGAGCAATGAAAGGGCATACAACGGAAACTGGGTTTGTCCGTGGAGCTGGAATAGGCGCCGTGGCAGGTGCCATCACAGCAGTTCAGTTGCTGGAATCAATGGTTGATGGGGAGTCCTTGTCCAAGGTAATTGAATTCCTTACTATTCTAACATATTCAGAACTCTTGTCCCCCCAAGAATTAAGAAAGAAAGTTTGAGCCCTTTCTTCTCTTTTATGTAATTTGTTGCAACAGCTTGCCCTCTTGGGTAGCTTAGTAAGTGGGAAGATTTTCATGGAATGGGTAAGTCCAGCAGTGCTCAAAGCCTATCAATATCAAGTAAGTATACATACATACATACATATACTAATGAAAATTTTCTGTAGGCAATTAAGCAGTAGTTTCATCACTCTTCTGATGAAATATTCAATTTCATTTTTCTTTCAGATGAATTCACTAGAATCTACCTATAGAGAAATGTCAGACATATATGATGTTAGTGGGGTTAAGGGGTTGTCCAAAACAAGAATCCAACAGCTTCCAGCATCTGTATATCAATATACCTGCGAAAACATGGAAACACAGGATGAATCTTCTTGTTCCATCTGCTTACAGGTAAGCATAGACAAAGAACACAACATAATAATAAGCTAAGAACAACAAAAGCAAAGCCGAGTTGGCACCACTGACCTCTTGATTCAAGCATAAGGTCATGGGTTCTAGCACAAAAAGGCAGAAAAGAAAGCTAACTCCTTTGATTTTTGCAGGAGCTGAAGGATGGAGAGTTGGTGAGAAAGCTTCCAAATTGTGGGCACTTCTTTCATTTGGAGTGCATAGATGGATGGCTAATCAGGCAGGGGTCATGTCCAATATGCAGAGAACATGTTTTCAATAATCCAGAGGAAGAGGCATTGTAAATTTTGCAAACTCTGAAAACACCAGTAAAGATAAAAAAAAATAAAAAAAGGTGGTTGGTTTTTCCCTAACATAAATGAATGCCATTAAAAAATGTGCGTCTCTCTCCCATTCTATCTTGGTATGGAATTTTATTTTAGATTGGATATTTTGTAACATATTTATTTATGTTGGTATTGAAGAATTCTGAAGAAATTGTTTCCGACAACCCATGCTAAGTATTCAAAGTTTGTGTTGAAGCATAGATCTAGTTCTCTACACAATTCTATATGGGACAAGACGAATCATTTGTTTAATATTTGATATAAGAGGAAACAAAAAGAACCACGTCTTATAGAATATTAATACAAAAAAAAAAGTATTTTATAAAATTGATTATATATTAAAAATATAATTTATTTTATAAATTTATAAAATTATTATTAATAAAATTATTTTTATATTATTTTATTAAAAATATGTGAAAAATTATATTGTTTTAGTATTAAAATTATTAGTAATATTCAATTCCAATTATCATTTAAATAAAATATAATTATTATTTAAGTAAGATTCCATTCAAATAATAATTGTGGTTAGATATTTTAATTTTTAATTTTTAATTTTATTCAAAATACTTTAATAAATTTATAAAATAAATTATATTTTTAATATATAATTTATATTATAATACATGATTCCCATATTAATGTAGGATTTAATTGCTTTTTGGCTATGTAGAAGGGAATCTCATTCTGACGTCGTGGGCACACGAGGTGAGTAATGAGGTGGAAAAGACGTCCCTTCAACCCCAGATTCTCTGAATTCTACCAAAAATCTCCAGGCTCCAGCAGCAGAGAACAGACTGTAAGTAGGTGTTTTGTTTGGGGCAAACCTCCTCCTTCCCTTTTTTTTTTTTTTTTCTTCTTCCTAAAGTTTTTTAAATTTTTTAATAAAATTATTTGTATATTTTGATATATTAATATTATAATAAAAATAAAAATAATATTTTTAATATTTATTTTTTTACATAATTCTGCA